TATGGCTATGTCTGTACATGTTGCACAAAATGTTAAAAAACAGCCCGTTTATATTTAATTGTAATAGTTTTAATTTTATGCCTTCATGAATAACTGTGTCGAAAGCTTTGCGAAAATCTACAAAACAAGCATATAGCCTTTTATTGCCAGTGTTGATATATTTGTCAATTAGACATTTTACTACGAATAAGTGGTCTGATGTTCTGGATTCCTTTGAGAAACCTATTTGAGTTTCATGTATTATTTTATGTTCTATTAAATATGTATTAAGCCTGTTATTTAAAATGATATTAAAAAGTTTTGCTATGCTATTGTTTATTGTTATTCCTCTATAGTTTTGGGGTAATTTAGGATTATCTGATTTAAAGATTGGTGTTGTATAACCCTCTAGCCATTTCTCTGGATATATTCCAGATGTTAATACAAGATTAAATAATTTCAGAATACAGGAGTTTATGTAAATTTGGGATGCTTTTATCATTTCATTTGAGATGTTGTCTAGGCCAGGGCTTTTCCCAGACTTTAAGGAGTTGATGGCCTTTTGGATTTCAGGTGCAGATATCATGAAATCCAGTTTATTAAAAGAGGTAGCCGCCTTATTGTTTAATAATTCATTAATTTTAGTTTCAATTGTGTTGATTCTTCCTTTGTACTTTTCTGGTAGTTTGGATAAAGTAGTAAAGTAGTTTAACCATGTATTTTCATCAACTGACTTTTCTAAATTTTCTTTTGTGTTTTCAGTTTATCTCAGGTATTTAATCAGTTTCCAATATTCTTTAGGATTATAGCTATTCATTTGTTAAAACTACATGTACACCTCAAGAAACCATCAGTTTTTTGTTTTCCTAGGTGAAAAAAAAAACTTATTTGGACAAAATGGATAACTTCTGAGCTGCTTTATACCCTTCCTTGGTTTACCCTTTGAATAATGCTGAGACTGGCCATTTGAAAAATATAACAATTTAAGGACGGGGAAGCTAGAGAGGAAAAATTACTTTTCGAATCTGAAAAAAAACTAGATAAAAATATTGAATAAACAGAAAAAGGGGAAATTGTTCCCATTCTGGTTTCGGAAGGGAGCGGGGATTATAACGTCTCTCAGTGCCAATTTTATTTATACCTTTAAATAAAAAGTAGGGGCGGACTGGTCTTTCAATACACATTTTCAGCAGTATATTTGATTTCATTGTCGCAAACCACGCGCCCAAAATGTACGATATCCTATCATAAAGCGGACTTAGGACCATGGCTTAAGACGATGGTTTGATGTAAGACGGGGGGTGGGGGGGGGGGGGGGGCGCACACCTGATGCTACTAAATGTGTATGTGCCCGACATAGAAATATTGATTATATTCCAGGAAGGATGTGTACATCCAATAATTTTGCCAGCATATACTCTTCTGAAAGAAAAAAAAAAAGCTTTAGACAGTACATGGCACAATTCAATAAACCAGATCTATTCCGGTACTGATCTTCCATGAGTGTGACTGACATAAGAAATGACCAATAACGTGTACTGCTGTTCAGGATGTTGCAACCTTTCCATTCCTGTTTTCTCAGGGCCATCAGAAGCAATTCAATTTGGGGGAATATATGTTCAATAGGGAAGGGGGATGGGGTACATGTACATATGCAAAATTCATTTATAAGCAAGAAATAAAAAAATGATACTACATGTTACAACAAGAGGCCCAGGGGCCATATCGCTCACATGAGCAACTGGCTATGTAAAACCTAGAAGGAAAAATCAGTTAAGTATTGAAAAGTTTAAATATAAGAGTGGGTTCAAGGGAGGAGGGGAGGTGTGTATTTGAACAAACTTCAATCTATACTTCCTACGGATATTTTTAAATAAAATTGGTACATAATGGTTTTGCTGTTTAAAATAAGAGCAATAAAGCCTTAATGTTCCTTTGCATAACTATGATCCACCTTTATGGCTCCTCCATTCTTCTGGTTGGTCATGATTTGAAAAAAATTGAATGTACACTTCCAGAGGATGCTTCCATATATAATTCTGACCAAAGAGTGCAAAGATGATTGTTGGTTTTGTATTCATGCATGTTTGTTACGTACGTGGTCGTTGATTTTGCTTTAATGTATATTTGTTGTGCGAAAACGTCTGTTGATTATGCATTGTATATAATTTGTTAAGTTTTTATGGTCATTGAAATTAAAATAATTGTTTATTTTCACATTATGGTAATTTTTGCCCTTTCCGCTGCCCATAAAAATTGTTAGAGAGAGAGAGAGAGAGAGAGAGAGAGAGAGAGAGAGAGAGCCACCTCCATTCTCATATATCTGTTATATCGAATAAAAAATCATATTTTTTTCCTAAATATTCCAGGCAAAGTAATCATTTTTTGAAGATTAACAAATCCATTTGACAGTAGGCACTGGCTTTTATTTTCCTTCATCAAGTTCACACGGTTCACTCGAAGTCCACGTGCTTGTCCTGTCAATCAAAATCATTCGACACAGGGGTGGAGGTGTGGAAATCTCGTTTCACCGAACATGCGGAGGTCAAAGAGTCACTTAGTATTTCCAAGAAGTTTTAACATTTTTTACATAATTTCTACATCTGAATTTCGCAATTCAGAAGACAAAATAATGGGAATTTATACCTGGAAGGATTAAGTATGAAACTGAATTGGAAACATAGTCTCTGCTAATTTAAAATACTACTGTTGGCACATGTATATTTTGAAATACTATTATTTAATGACTGTACGTTTTGATGTTCGTTTTAAGACTGATTTTCTTGTGTCATAATACACGTTAAATATTAATTATAATATACTGAAAATACTAACCAAGAATTATATTTCGGGAGAAAAGGCGCGGGGGGGGGCTTATTAAATCATTCTAATGTATTACATTTTAAACAATTGGGTTTTTTTTCTAAAATCACACTATCAATTAAATTCGACCTAAAGATATTCAATTAACTGAATATCTGCAGTACTGTTCATAATTCTCAGACGTACATGTAGTTCCATCATGTTTTCGTGCATTTTTTATATACTTGTTAAAAATATTTTATTTTGTGTATTCTTGTCTTGTAAAAAAAATTGGATTATTATCCATCCGTTAACGATTTGTCGTCTTTTACATTACAACAAACAGAAAGACAAATGGACATGAAATCTATAATATAGTACTTCCCGTCTTAAAAAAAAGGGCGTATAAAAAGCGTGTTATTAAAAAGTTAATTTAAAACATCATACGTATGTGCAGAAAATATCGAAAGAACTTACATTAATAATTTTTTTTCAAATACATGTATCGTCTTTCTGTGGAATTTTCTTAAATCTGTTTTATGTAACTGATTATTTATTAATTTATATCTGTTAATTGCTTATTTATATTTTAGCAGCTTACATTAAAATACAATAGAATAGTTTCAATGCAAGGAAAAGATCAGAAGGATTCCGAATAAATAGTTCATCTGGCGTTCACCTTTCGTTCACCGTTCACTTTGCACTCGCGTTTTCGCTTCAATTGCGTTCTGCGTTTGCTCACCGTTCGCTCTGCGTTCGTTCGGCGTTTGTTCACCGTGCGTTCACTGTTCAGGTGGGAATGTGGAAAGTTTCAGGGACTGTAGCTCTCTTAAGTACGTATCAACAGCTGAAGTTTGATAACACTATCTTGGTGGCTTTAAAACTGAGCTAAACACTCATTTATAATAAGAACAAGATGTGTTTGTGAAACACTATGCGCCCGGCGGCAACAAATTTTTAAAACAACATATCTTTAGCATAAAGGTCACAGTGAAGGTCACAAGGTCATTGATCTTGATGTGATTTGAAAGATCTTGATTAGAGAAGCATGCGTACCAAATATGAAGTCTCTATCTTTTATGGTTCAAAACTTATGATGAATGTTCAAAAAAGATATTTTTAGCATATAGGTCACAGTCAAGGTCACAATGTCATTGACCATGGTGTCATGTGAAAGGGCTTCATTAGTGGAGTAAACATGCCATATATGAAGCCTCTATCTTTTACGGTTCAAAAGTTATGGTAAATGTTCAAAAAAGCTATTTTTAGCATATAAGACACAGTCAAGGTCACAAGGTCATTGACCTTGGAGTCATGTGAAAGGGCTTCATTAGTTGAGTATGCATGCCAAATATTAAGTCTCTATCTTTTATGGTTCAAAAGTTATAGCAAAGGTTAAAGTTTGCAATAAAACCTCTATTTTTAGCATATAGGTCACAGTCAAGGTCACTAGGTCATTGACCTTGGTGTCATTTGAAAGAGCTTCATTAATGGAGTAGGCATACCAAATATAAAGTCTGTCATTCATGGTTCAAAAGTAATGGCGAAGGTTAAAATTTGCAGACAAACAGAAAGGAAAAAACAATATACGCCTCGGATCTTTCGATTCGGGCGCATGAAAATGAGTTTAAGGTCAAAGGAAAGGTAAACAAAAATGTTGATGCAGTTGCATAGCTCTCATTAATATCTAACAGCATGTGAATTTTGATGAAAATATCTTAGTTTCTTTAAAATGAGCTTTGAACTGAGCTAAACGCAGTGTGACAAAAGGACAGAAGGAGGACCGGAAGGATGTAAGGACGGAAGACGGACATGACAAACACTATATGCTCTGGCCATATTCATGGCGGGGCATAAAAAGCATTCTTATATAGCAATCCGCAATTTTATACCTATCCGATCAATATGTTTACAGCTTTGCTTTATATTTAAGGACAAACTAATTCCATAGCTCGAAATATTTTAAGCCAAAGTTCAAGTGTTATCAATATTAAGTCTATATCAGAAAATTTCATCGAAAGCAACGGGAGTCCATAATACATGCAGGAAACGAAATTGATAACTTGAGTTATATTGGGTGAGTAGGAAATTCAACATTTTGATTGAATTTAATTCAGTGAGAAAATTTCCATATTTTCCAAGCAGAGTTACCCATCATCATATAAAAGTGAGATATTTAATTTTCACTTATCAAATTAAAATTGTAGATGTCTGAGCTTGACCCCCCAATACCCATCGAGAGGAAGCTCTTCGTTTATCCCCACTTTGCACCTCAGGTGAAATCTGTGACTTCACACTAGAATACACTTTAGCAGAAAGGAATATACGCCACTGAAAATGGACTCCATTAGAAGCTCACAAACGTAAGTTTTAATGACAAGAATTTATAATTCTAAAAAACAATTTCTGAATCATCTGAATCAGTGTAATATGTTGACAGTAAAATTGGTTTTAACTTTTTACACCACTGAATTAAAAACATATCCTTTACAAAATATGACACTTTCAGTTATAAATTTCACTATTTAAAAAATGAATGATTTAGTTGAGTAGAAAAATAACTGATTCAGATTAGGAAATTTTATTTTTATTTTATGACATATGTATGTACATGAATTCTTTTTTTATTATGAGAAAATATACACTGTCAACACTTTTTTTATATAAATAATGATTTAATAAGCTTATCAATTATGATGCATTTAATCATATTATAGATTTTAAAAAGTGAAAAATTAATAACATGTTTACGCGAATATAAATTCCACTTTAATCATTCTCAGTACTAAAGCCATACAACGCATATCAGAGTCGGTGTTTGTGGGACTGTGTCATAAAGTGGGGACCTCGCAACTGGTGGCCATGAGGAGAGATGTGGTGGACCTCAGGGATATGGTGATGAATCGAGGGAAAACAAATAAAGACCAAAGTGTGATGATAAGTGGAAGTTACAGAGAAGGCTTCCGACTGAAAGGATCAGATATGGACTTTATGCTCTGGCATAATGATCAGCGTATTATCTGGGAATTATCACAGTCTCAGTATTACGACACGAACAGACAATCACTGATCCTCTGTGACTGTTCTGATAGTCCACCAGGATTCACTTTGTTATATTTACTGTCACCTAGCATGGACAGAGACATGCTTTGGGTTAGTGTTAGAGTGAATAACAGATATTATGTATCTAGTTCTAAATACAGACAGATCTATCTATCTGTATTGTCACCTGAATTCATTCCACATGGACCCTGTGCCACTCTAACAACAGGAGCAGGGGAAATTGATAATGCCTACTGTTTTGTTTGTGACTTTTGGCCTCCATCTGCCTCCTCATGGATAGACAGATGTCACTCATGGCCCCAGCCTCATGTTGTTGATGATATAGTGAAAAATGGATGTCACTTTGTAGCAATTGGACACAAGCTAGGAAATCATGAAGATCATGAATGGACAATTTCTTTCTCAAAGGCAGAACATAAACTTGTTTATGCAATGAATCACTGTCAATTCTTAACTTACGGTTTACTTAAATTGTTCTTATCAGAAATAATTAACAATGGACTAGATGATGCTGATAAATTACTGTGTTCCTATCACATGAAGACGGCGGTTTTCTGGGTGATTCAACAAAATACAATACCTCACTGGTGTCCACAAAATCTTCTGGAGTGTTTCTGGGTCTGTTTTAAACTCATCCTCAAATGGGTGTATGAGGGGGTCTGTCCTAACTTTTTCATTCCAGGCAACAACATGTTTTTGAGTAAAATTCACGGCGTCAAACAACATCAATTAAATATAAGACTGTCAGAGTTGTATGGGAAGGGTTTAGCATTCCTGCTACATAGTCCCTCCATTAGATCTTATATTATAGATGTCCTCCATAACCCCAGAAACTCCATCTGTACAGATGATCATACTCTGATTTCTGAGGTTGAGTTTGATAGATATCTGTTTAATGAATTACTAAATGATCGTCTAGGAACACCAGACGAATGGGACATACAAATCTGCATTAAATATCTATCTTAAAAATCATATCAATGAACATGTTAAATATGAAAGCATTATCTCTTCTCAATCAGAAGTTATAAGGGGGAAATTGCATTTTTGAAAAGTATGTCAAACGTCAAGGTTCAAGGTCACAAGGTCAATATCCATAGTGTATTTAGAAATGATAATATACATATAAAATGTGAAAGCTCTATACAGTGTATTTTCCATCGTCACAAACCACGACTAAAATGTACAATCCTATCACATACTAGTAAGCGGACGCCAAACCGTGGCTTGTGACTTTGTATCTTTTCTCATTCAAAAGTTATGACCAAGGTTCAAGTTTTTGAAAAGCATTTCGAACTTCAAGATCAAGGTCATGAGGTAAAAAATTATTAGGGGCCGCCAGGAGGCGGTCGGTTACTCGATATGAAAGTTTGAAGTCACCGTGCGTTTCTGCAGACTTAGAACAATTTAAATAAAAATGTTATTTATATTATATAGAATATTAAAAAAAAGCTATTTTAAATGTTTAACAAAAAGCACAATAATCATAAAATCAAAATTTTATAAATAATGGGTGTAAATGATTCATCCAATCCTGATTAACAAACTCTAACATGACAGAGACTTGAAAGAGAAGAAATGTAGTGGTGGATCTAAGGGGAGTTGGGTGGGTGGGGTGTTAACATTCTCTAAGAGAGAGCGAGGAGCCCCACATATTTTATATTTGTTGCGAAAACTACTTTAGCATTAAACTTCTACCGGAGTTCGTTTACAAGTATCAAACTGAGTGCAGATACGCAGAAGTCTATGGACAGTTTGCTTATACAAATACAGTTTATTGTATATGCATTATGCATGACGAAAATCGGCAATGTCGCATGCACGTGTTTTATGTCACGAGGATATTTTAATAGATTAAAGTAAGAAATTTTAAAAACAGATCACGCAAATTTCAGTTTCTTATTACTATATCAAAGGAACAATTAATTGGGTTTGCGGCCGATTTTTGACGCTTGCGGCAATATATAGGTTTCTTGTAGTGTATTTAAAAAGGTCTTGTCACAGTTTAAACACATGAATAATATGAAATTCTATTTCTTCTCTGTTCTAATTCTAAAGAGATGACCAAGGTTGAATTTTTGTGACATACGAACAGATTTACAGTCTGACTGACAAACAGACAGACGAATAAGATTTAAAGAAACCTCGATCGCTTTCGCAAAAGCGGGGCAAATCAAATGTTTTACACCAGAGAGAGAGAAAGAGAGAGAGAGCACAAAAAATTCGGACAACCTTTAACACACATTAGGAAAGATCTACATGTTTAACTAAATGTCGTTCAAATGAATTTTAAATTAAATTCCCCCCTCCTTTTTCTTTTCAGATTTTATCATATGCTGCTGTCATATCTATGACTGATATTCTTCTAGTTTTTTTAGTTATTCAGAATATGTCTCCACTTACATATCGGAATAATTTAAGATTTACATCACGCTCCCAGTTAATACTAGTTCATTACCAATTCTCCGTATCGTATCAAATGTATTCGTATGAAGAATTTAAAATACAATTTTTTGTTTTTAATAATTTATAACAAAAATTCATGATTTTTAGTTTCCTTATATGATAAGTGGATATCACTCCAACTCTCTATATATCCCAAGCGCGGATCCAGGAATTAAAGTTAGAGGGGGCGCCCATAATCGGCAGGGGTCTGGTTTAAGCTGAATTCTAGAGATTTTGTAGGAAAAATTGAGGTTAACCGAATAGACATTTTTACATTTTCTCGACGAAACTATGATTTACGCTAACTTTGACAATTTTAGGGGGCGGATGCGACCCCCTTTAATCCGCCACTGAATTTAGTAATTGCAAGCATTGTGCCCAACACAAAGATTAATTTTACAAAAGGATAAAGACAGTCTTTAAATTTCTAGTAATTAATGAAAAAACCCAGTGACCTTGACTGTGACCTGTATGTTAAAAATAGTTTTTTCGTTTTTAGTTAACCTTTGCAATAACTTTTGAACCACAAGAAATAGAGACTTCATTTTTGGTATCCATATTTTACTAATCATGTTCTCTCAAATGACACCCAGGTCAATTGCCTTGTGACCTTGACTGTGACATATGTGCCAAAAAGTTTTTTTTTATTTTGTCGTTGCCGGGCGCATAGTGTTTCACAAACAAATCTTGTTTTAAATTAATTTGTGATCATTTTTATTGATTGGATTTGTTGACGTCTTTTTGTAAGCATAACGTCAACGTAGCGTTGCGTGTCCCATGTGACCCAATTAATTACACTGAAAGAAGACTCTCACTATCTAATGATTCAAGTCAATCTAGGTGTTTGATGCAATTGAACTTTAATAACTCTGATTCTGGGCAAAGGAAATAAGAAGAGAGAGATTATATTTTGAATACATTACCTTAAGTTTTGACCTCAATGCTACTAGGTATTTTCTTCAGAAAAGTGGTCACACACTAGAACAATACCTTTACATTTCGCAATCTATTTTTAGTAACAATGCTTGACCAGAAAATTTCGAAATGATATTTTTCTTAAACAATTTTTTATAAGCTTTGATTTGATATATAACACAAGTGGTAAATACTAAATTTAAAATTTGACTTGTGGATGCTACTCAATGGCCCTGAATGTCGAGTATAGGACACAATTTGCAGCTCTCCACCGGCAAATGGTGGCGTCTCCATATGAGTAAAAAATTCTCGAGAGGGACGTTAAACGATCAATCAATCAATCTATTCCCCCATCCACTTAAAAGAAACCCGATGCTACCTACCTGCATTAATTTTTCTTAAAGGTGTTAATCGAAATGCTTGGTTGTGCCCTCAAACTGGAATAGTTTTTAGAGGCCTGGAATTCCTTGACCAATTTTATTTTATTAGCCCAACTATATTTATAAGAAGGCAGGATGTATGGTATGTAAGTTTCATCTACATATGTTATGTAGTTCATATTAAAAAACCAAAAGGGATAATTGACGATATCCCATTCAGGGTGTAAACATAGCAGTTTAAATTACTTTCCATACATTGTACTTGACATAAAATATTTTTGCGCATAATGCGCTCCATACCGAAGATCCGTAAATGTTCACCCAACCGAAATGTCCACTAGCAGTACAGCACGGGGAAACTCTAAACAAACGGACCTGTACAATGGAGTGGAGAAAACTTTAATTTTCATCATTGTTAATCATTTGTATGCAAATATGAGCATGGGATTAGTAGATAATAATGTACATAATGCATCAAGTCTTTCTGAGAGCGATTTAAAAAACTAGCCTTTTTGAAAAACACATGTAGTATTTTATGTAGTAACCCATAAATGCATTAAATGCAACTCATTGAGCTGATTGGTCTATTTGTGTCCCTCACTGAACAGACGTCACAAAATATATTTTCTCGACCTGATGATTCTCGCGATGCTTTTCCCGCGCACATGCGCAGATCTAGGATAAACGTCAATCCTTTATAAATATGCATGAGAATATCGTGTTCATTTCCTGACCAGTACTTTGTTAATACCGAATAAAATTTCGTCGAATTTGCAAGAATGCTTCATTTTTGGTAGCTTATCCTACTCCAGAAATTTTTGTTCGGTTTCAGCTGTGCAAAAATACTGTTTAACACGGCATACATATCTTTAAATGAATATAATATTATGTATGTATTGTTTGAGCATTTAAGTGTCTTTTTATTTCTCTTAGAGGTAAAGGGGGATAGGGAAAAAACATAAAAATTAAACAAAATAACAAGAAATATTAAGTAGAAATGAATCGTAAGATGTGCCAACTTTGAAAGCGTTTTGTAAAAATTCTAGACATAGAATCTCAAATCGCCACATACAATCGTTTTAACTTTTATTTAATTGTACTCTGGTGCTTGCACTTTTTGATTAAAGGTAGGCACGAGGCGTTTGAAAATTACCTGTGTTATCGTCTGAAAACAGAAAATAAACTATCCGACATTGAATTGCGGTTTCCATATCTGGTAAAAAATTTGCCGCCATATTGAATTTAGCGATCCTCCAAAAACGGAGGCCGCCCAGACCTGTTTAATGAAAATCTACTTTGTTCATACATTAAATGAATTATAACAATTATATTTTTAGGAATGAAAAAATAGCCACCAGATTTATATATACGGTGTAAATTGGGTTGGAACAGCTTACGATTTTTTTAATATAAACTCCAGCGTTAACTGCCCAACTCAGTTTATACCGTATAAATCTGGTAGCTAAGAGAGGTAATTCAGGTCAATTTTCACTGCATCGCTGTTTAAAAAAAAAGATATCTTTCCTAGTTTAATGCTCCTGTTTAATTTTACACTGAAAAAAAGCAATTGAAAGTCACTGGGAAGACTAGTAAATTTACTGTCCATACAATCACAAATGTTATCCTTATTCTTAATCCTTAGGAAAAGTTGCAATCTTGTTGTGTATTAATGAGAAATATTTTGAAAACCTTTAATCCAGAAAAATAATTTTATTCAGAGTAGAAATGTTAGAAAGCAAAACTCCTTCACAAGTAAAGTCATTCCGAACTAAGAGTTGTGTACAGAGTTTAGCAATTCGAGCACACTCGTGTTATGAACAGTTTTTGTAAACATGGCACGAGTTCTGTTATTTGTTGGTGTTTACAATTCTCTGGGTGCGTTCAATCGTCACAGTCTGCTTACCACAACTACACGGACTGATAATATATTGTGTGTTTGTTTTGCTTTCGAACATACCTAGTCTGAATTTTATGGATTTTAGTATTGATATTTTTCATTTATACACAACAAGATTGCCACTTTTCCAAAGGATTAAGAACAGAATTAATTCGTGAAAGAGCAAGGATGAATCAATCAAGCCTGCCAAAAAAATTGAAGTCTTAATAACTTTTAAATGAAATAAGAATTTTTAATTAAATTTTGTGTGAAATGCTATTAAAATATATAAGTCGTAATATTATAGAGAAAATAATAACTTCAAATCTGTGTCTAAGTACCTTTAAAAGTAG